CAGCGAACAGCAGCCAGCTGCACCTACTGTGGAAGTGGGCATCTGGTGGATCTGTCTGCTCTTCTAATCGTGTCTCCCTCTGGCTTTTCTGAGCTATAAGGGCATTAAAGAGAATTCCAGGAATGTTGGAGTCAAAGCAGGTTTTCTAACTCAGATAAAGTCTGATTTACGTTCTCCAATCAGGTTTCATGTTTTAACCCAAAACCAGCAAAGTTTAACCTGATAGGCGGATCTATTAGTGAGGACATTTTAGTTTAAAACTATACAAACTAGACATCAAACCCGCATCTATGATCACCATCGCCTGTTGGAGCTGCAGTCACTAAACGTTTTAAATCCCGACATTTTAAAAAGCTGCTGAGTGCTACGGGCTGATGTTAACAAACCAACAGCGGAAATTAACGGACGGAGGAAGAGATGCATGAGATGGAGAAAGCGAGGCTGCAGAGGGGGGGGCTAGCTGCGAAGCTAAAGAGAGATCCCCTCAGACCCCCGCTTCCATCAATCCTGCTCTCCAAGCTCATTGGAAAACAAAATAGATCATTTCCGACTTCAACTCTCTTCAAAAAAGGAGATATGTAACTGCTGCGCCATCATTCTGACGGGGTCTCGGCTGCGTCCAGCCCGGATGGTGCTGTGAAAAGTTCATGACTGGTAGTGTGTATTTAGTTAAGGTTAATTTTAAAGTTGGGTGTGTATTGATGCTGCTTAGGGTCAGGACATAACGAGGTCAGTCCCAGTCTTCACCTCTGTAGCATTTTCCCTGCGCCCATCCTGATTGGACGAGCTCTCACTGGCAGCATATTAACCACTGAATGTCTGATTTAATTAACCTCATCATAACATTCTCTCAGTGTGTCAGGATGAAAGGTACAAGTAGTTTTGGATTATCTCCAATCTTGTATTTTTTAAGCAGTGCCTTTCCTGGTTACAGAATTTAATTTCAGCCTCTAATATTGATTGGAACCGATTTATCAGAAATATTCTGAAAGATTAAATGTATCTATTTCTCAACGCTGTCATTGTATTCAAAAGGAACATTTATTTAGTTTTTTAAATAATGTAAATCTTGCTAAGTTTGTTAAAAGCAGATTATGATGAAGACATGAAGAGAAGTAGTTTAACTGATTATAGTGATTAAAGTAACGTAGAGACAAAAGATGCTTCCTGTAAGTTCAGATTTCCTTGTTCAGCCTTTCATAGTGAAAATTAATAATTTCATCACTTGA